GCTTGGTAAGTAACTCTGTTAAGCCCTAGCTTGGCTGACCAGATCATGATTCTTGTGTGTGTCGCAGATGACGACAAAAATACAAACTGTGGTGAAACCGCATTCCCTCCAACAAAGAAACTGTGCAAGGCCCAGTGCAGTGGTTACATCTATATTAATAACTTCTTTAAGAGCTCCGCTGAAGTACAGGACTTGCTAAGAAATTTCATTTCCAAGTAACTGATATCTACACAAGAGACATCCACTTGTCTTTGGCAGCTTTTTTTTTTCTTTTGGTCTTCAAAGTACTTGAAAATATGCCTAACTCACTAAACCTGGACAATCCACTGAAGCCACGAGCGGTGTCCACATGCTTAAAGGAGGGTCCATGTTCCAAGTACTTTGCTGAACTGGGACCTTGACTGCCAACCAGCAAACATCTGAAGCTCACGTCTTCTCTCATTTAAAAAGAAAACAAAACAAAACCAAAGCAAAACAAAAAAACACACACCGAAAATGCCCCAAAATTCAAACCACAGTGATCTAATATTCTAAGCTTTGTAATTACTCCTTCTTTAAAAGGACATTGTCATTGAGAGTTACTTACACACTTCCACATGAAGATTTTTGTTAGTAACAGTGAGAACAGCTTTTCCTTTCAAACAGAAAAAAAAAGCTTACATAGTGCTTTATTATAAACAAATTATTTTTAAGTTACGCTTATGCATAATTTCTGACTTACATTTTTCAGGCGGCGTTATTGTAATAGTCTGAGCTGTAAATTCTTCATCAAAATACCTGGTGTCTGTCTCAGATGTCACTTGAGGTTTAAAAGGAGGTACAAGCTGAAAGGTACCAAGAAACAAAATGAAATTACTATACCTGAAACTAGCCCAATTCCTAGCAGGAAAAAAAGTTACTCTTTTTCCCTAACAGATCAAACAAGTAGGTCTGTGGAGAGGCAGCTGAGTCTCTAACTTCTAGTAAAAGACAAAAGCCATTAGAGTTAATCCCCAAAATATTCGTTCAGAATGTCGCTAACAGCACAACACGGCTAAATTCCAAGGATCACTCTCACATGACTTGCAGATAAATTGAGCTGCAGAAAGATAATTACCTAGAAACTCTTCAGGCCATTCTAATTACCTGCATAGACGTCAGGCAAAGGCATCTCTACGTGCTTCACCACAACTGGGTGGTATAAAGAGCAAAGGCAAAAAGGACTACAGAGAGCACAGTAAGCACAACGCCTTTTTTTTAAAATTTTCTCTTTTTTTGCACAGTTGTTAAGGCCTACATCTGAACTTAGCTTTAGAAGAAGTTATGTGAACATGAAAATAAATTTTCTATTTGAAAAAAGGCTAGTTCATGCTTAAGTGACTTGCTGGATCTAATCCTGCCTACTGCTTTCCCAGTACAGTGCAGGATTGCCCAAAAGCAAACCACTAGTATTTGCTCACAGCAAGGACTTCTTGCCCCTCTTTTGAACCAGCCTTGCTCTCCATCTTCTCCTCCAGAACCACCACCTGTAGGCCAAAGATTTTACCTGGAAGGCATATTCAGAATGGACTATCACGCCGCATGGTGCCAGCCCAAAACGATACACCAGTTTAGTATGTATGATATCGCAAATGGGGACAGGGGGGTGACAATGGTTTGGTTTGTACCTTGGAGCTCTCTGGTGTTATCTCCTCATATGCAATTTAAAATACACACCCTGAAGATAGCGTATCAACTTCCCTTTCCATGTACCAAGTTACATTACGGCTCACTGATATTATCAGAGCTTGCGTGTGGTTTTCACTAGTTTCATGTTATCTCTCAACTCCAGAACACCAACACCAAACAAGTAATTTGTTCATTTTCCCCACAGCAAAGGAAGCGGAACTGCTGTTAAACCCCCTCCCCTCACCAAGTTCAACGCACTAGACACAATTTACAATACACGACGTACACTGTGGAAACTCTTCTTTTTGATTATTTTTTTCACAAAAGTAAGAATCTTTGTTATTTTACTATGTTTAATGCACAGGAGGCCTTTTTTGTACAGCTTGGAGAACTGCATGAACTGGTAAATGCTAGACGCAGCCCTGGATCTCAGTGCTAACCAAAGGAGACTACACAATCCACGAATAGAGCCATCCAAAACCCAAAAAAGCTAGCCTGCCCTGTGAGAACTAGACAGCATAACTATGTAGTGCTGCACAACCAGCCAAAGAAAGCAAGCTTTCAACAAGATGCTCTTCACAGTAAATCTCTATCCAGAAAATTATTAGTATTAATTCCTAATACTTTAAATGTGGTAAAGTGCATAAATAGGGAACTTAAACAGCAAGACAACAGCAAAAAAAGCTAAACAGAAGCATGTGTAGGTGCATACACTCACATCAAACTTCTCTCCATTTTTTATGGCTGTTACAAATGCACACACAAACTCCCACTCCCATTGTTTCCAAATCCAGGTTGAAAACTGCCACCCAGTTCTTGTCATGTTTTCCCTCTCACATAGGAGACGTTACACTGACACCTGGTAAGGTGGAAGCCATGTTAGCTGGAGAAAGATACCTTCACTGTACGAGAACCGCACCAGAACGCTAGGTGGTTCTTTGGACATGGGACCAGATTCTGCTGCCACCTCTCCCAGGATACACCTACAAGTCCTTCAGCATCACCCTTCATTCAACAATTTGACTCTTTTCTCCCTGCAACAGATGATTTGTCCTTTTGAGTATATACCAAGAGCTCTATTTTATCTGATCCAAATCTTCAGTAACAGTCCAAGCAATTACTAAGCAAAAATAAATCTATCACTAGCATATACTTCAGATGGTACAATAAATCTGATTAGTACTTTCACAAAACTAAATTCAGCTTTCCCTTACATTTTCCTGAATGGAAAAGGTACAAAAGCAGAGGGGCATTTGAAGTAAAGGTTTTGGGCATTGTAGGATAAATGCTTCAGTAGCTAACATATATAAACTCAACATCAGAAGAATCTGCCAGGTATAAATCCCATTACATCCAGTGTTTAAAAACAAAGTATTCTATTTTATGTACAAATTCCTGCACTTCTACGAAAATTATTTTTGTATGCGTCCTGGCCATCCTAATCAATTCCGCACTATTAAAATAGATTTCCAAAGTTGTACATCTCCCCAGCAAAGCAGCCACACAATTCCTAAGCACAGAGTTACTCCAGTGGAACATCCCACACTGCCATTTTTCTCATTTTTCTGTCTCAGAGAAGAACACTGAAAGAGTTAAAAATCAAAAAGATTACATAAAGCCAAGTAACGAATTCTACTCAAGGCCAAGTGACCACCACTGCACGGCCTTTTAAAAGACACTTTCACAGTTCTCAGCAACAGAAGTAAACAACAGATAAATCCAGTATGAAAAAAATCCATTAGATAACAGGTTTGTAACAATTTTACTACTTCCCTGATTGGGATCTTTTTTCAAGATCAGAAACAAAAAATGTCATTTCACAAGAATTAAAACTTTTAGTATGAAAATACAAGCTTAAGAAAAATCTTCTTGTTTCTCAAGTCAAGGACAAGAAACAATGTCTTTCCAATGGTGCAATACGCATCTCCAGTAGGACAAACCACTCTTGCTATGAGGTGAGAGACCTTCCACGCTACATCTACTGTGTGAAGAGAAGGAGAAAACACTCACTCTGTGATCTTTAACAAGTGCGATTTAAGTTAAAGGTAGTTAATGAAAAACAAAAGGAAGAGCAGGGTAAGATCATAATATATAGCAATGTATGGATCTGCAACTGCAGAGGAAAAAGATAATGCATTAGCTTACAAGTTTCTTCCTCAAAAACTTAATAGCTAATTACTGGTTTACTCAGCATTTTTTTGCCTTTTGTTTTTTTTTGTCCACTGAAATGAACAGGCCTCACTATGACTTTAGATCATCCCCTTGTTCTCTCCACCTGTCTGAAACAGAAATGGTTATGAAAATACTTCAAACACTTCGTTTTAGGAAGAGAAGCACAGTGCTAAAAGACTCTTAAGGAACAAATAATCACAATAACAATTTCAATCAGGTACAAAAAGCACCATTAAAACAAAATTCATCAATCACAGGTGATGGGAGGAAGCTGGTGCTCCAATTCCATCTCTAGTAGCTAGGCTTAATAGAAAACTGTTTATCAAAAGCACCCATAAGTCAGCTGATGAAACTTCCAGCTATGGCAGAAGTGTAGCTGTCTGGGGAAGCAGAGCAAGCAAAACACACGGAATTCCAGGCTGTAACCAGAAGGGAGGAACCCAATGCAAATTTATGTCACTTGCTGCTTTAGGATTCATCTGTCTGACAGCAGCACCTCTCATATCCTGGACATTAAAAGCAGTCGGAAACTTCAGTGACTGCGAAAACAAACTGTGCAGCCATGTGGCTCTCTGTAACAGCTTACGCTGGTATTTCTACAAGCTATACCCTCACATACACCAACCATCCCCTACAGCCTATGGAAAAGAGGAAACAGTAGCAGAGGTTACCACACACAGATACAACTCAACAGAGAGCAGCAGGAAGGTTTCTTAATTCTTTCTGTACACTTTGTCTCCTTCCCTCACAGCACCGTCTCCACCAGCACAGCTGTGAGGACAGCCAGAAGTGGGGATCACTCCTTTCCATCTGGCTCTACCCCACCCACACCAAACCAGCTGTGGCTGAAGTCTTGTGGTCATCCCACTCCAAACTCCTGATCTGCCACCAAAGGCACACCTCCCCTTCCCCCAAGTAAATTCTTTCTCTGACCTTCACATAATTGTTGGGATACTTCCAAGACACACTCCCAGTTCTAATGGGAGAACTTTTAAAATAATTCTTGTCAAGAAATGAGGAACCGCCACTCAGAGCTCGGGTACCACCTCCAGAAGAAAATGAGAGAAACGCAGGAAGAAATCCTTTCCTAACAACCTTTCAGACAAAGCAGAAGCACAGAGCAGGGTATAAATGATGTGCCCACGTGTACACAGAGGGACACAGTACTTCAGCACCACATTTGGGAGACTGGGGACAGAACCATTCAAGACGGGTTTTGTAGGAGGGACACCAACATGCCAGGCCATGCTACAGAAACTTGGCGATCATCTTTCTGGAGTGGTGTCACCTTTGTTCATTAGTTATCAGATTTTATTTTAAAACAGTAAGTAAAACCTCCACAAATTTCAGCTGCAATGAACCCATTAGAAAGACAAACTGCTGCAGTGATAACCACTTAGATTGACACAGAGACTGAGTAAGAACTCAGAAGCTTCTCCATATGTCCCAAGGGAGATATGAAGACTGAAGCTGAGGTTTAATGACAAAGAACACATGAAGATCCACTGACAATCACAACATGGAGAGCCAGTGGCATTTCATGTTTGCTGCCACAAGGAAATGGCATCCACCCACTATCACCACAGCTTCTCGCCAATTCTGACCTGAGAAGCCATAAAGTCCAAGAGCAATGCGAGCACGGCAAGGCACACCCAGTAACCTGTGTCCAAAAGGAGTACGATGAGCTTTGGTTAAACACAGGCCTTGTCAGTCTGCGAGAGAATCGCCCTGCTCGGTCCTGGCTGCCAAGCTTTAGCATGGGACGATTTTCCTCCTCTAGCGGTCTGTGCAAACTGAGGCAGAATTCATCTGTCAAGCTGACTCTGTCCCCGCTGTTTCCAAGGTTTGATGTTAGAAATGACAGCAGAAGCAATATCAAATTCTTAGTGTCTTTATTATCTCCAGTGAATGGCATTTCCTTTTGGCATCCACGGAGAGCAGCATGTGAGAAACACCACTGTTCTTCCACAGCTGAAGACCTGGGAAACCTGCTACCCATCTCCTG